ATCGCTTTTACCATTTTTCCCGCACCACCCCCCGCCACTCTACCGTCGCGACCCAGCTTGGCACACTTTGGGGTTTATCAGGCGGTTTTTATATTTATTACCTAGCGCACGATCACGCGCGCTCGGCGCCGAGAACGATCCCGGATAAGAACGAGGACGGTAGGGGCGCCAAAATCAACCCCTCGGGTTCCCCATGACTCCACCCTCCCGGGTTCCCTTTCACCCCCTTGCCCTTCCTGGAGAACGACGCGACGCGTGTTTTACACCCGCCGCCGTTATCCGGCAGAGTTGCAACAGATGCAAGTGCACTCTTCGATGTTGCTCTCCCTCTCTCTCTCTCTCTCACGCCCCGGCTTTTTTTCTGCACCGAGCTCGACGGTATTCCCCTGAGACATCTCGGGAAAGGCCCCGCTGGTCGTCCGGTTAACTAGAGTATTGTTCGATTATTATTTCGGTACATATCGCGCACTTGTTACCTCTTTGTGCGGTCATATGGCGGTCGGAGGGTGGCCGGACGAATGTCACGCGAAATGGAAGACGTGACGAGACAGATAGAAGACGCGACGCCCCGAAATCGATACCGAGAAACTTAATTAATTCAACAACAAATAAAATTCTTGGACATCGGTAAACAAATGTTTCGGCTATGAGAACCAAAGTTTGATTCTCCGAACCAAATCTTTTTCACCTTCGTTCCAGAGAACCAAATTTTTGGTTCATCAAACTTTGCTTCTCACAACTAAAATATGCGTTTGCTGATATCCTCAAATACAAGAATTCTTTTTGAGTCGAGTAAACGAACTCCTCAATCTTCCGATGCTACCCTTATATATAAGGTCTATTTAGTCCTACGATCAATCGAACTTCTTCTTCATGAAGATAACGGAGCTCGCAAGATGCTCCGCAGGGTAGCACCGGCGGGCGCTGAGAAGGTGGGAGGAAATTTCGCACGAAGACGACGAAGGCCGCGACAAGCGATAGTGCCGAAGAAGCGGCCGCCGGAGAAGACGAAGAACGGACAATGATCTCCGTCGCAACGCGGCGGGAACATCTGCTCGGCAGGCAGTCGAGGGCGCGCGCGCTCCTCGGATCGTGTCTCGCGGCGTGTCCTCCTTCACGGGGCCGATTTCCTCCCGATCGTGCCGTGAAACTTGTCCCACCTCGGCATGCATAGGTATTCATTATCCTCGTCGTTCAGCGCCCGACGCTCGCTCCTTTTTCCGCGCGATCTTTTTTGGTCCACGGGGAACATCTGCGGCAGCTGCGAGGCGGTGGACCGCCGCGGGACGAGGCAGGTGCTCACCTTCTCCGAGGTTCTCCCTCGCCTGCCAATTACGCGTGCCTCTTTCTGCCTCCCCCACCTCCTCCGGCGTTCCTCTTCGCTTTGCCTCCGTTTTGTGTCTTCATCGCTCCGTCTCATTTTCTCCACCTTCCCCGTCCAGCCTCTTCGCTGGTTTTTCTCTCGCTTCTCCCCTCCTCCTCTCGTTACCATCCTGCCACGCTCCTCTTTTTTCATCCTTTCCTCTTCTCGCCACCCTCGATCGGCCGGCTTCGATCTCCTGCATCCTGTTGCCCTCGTGCCAACTTCTTGCATTCCTCCGAGCATTTTAGCACGCTCCACCTTTCCCTCTCAATTATTGACGACTCTCCGTAGTTTTTTTTTTCTTTCTTTCGGCAACATACGGTAATCGTTCGTTGCAACGGGTAATGCGCGTGTAATAATGTCTCCCTCGCCGTCGTCTTACGGTCTCGATCGATCTCCTTCGTCGCGCGTGCACCTCGCGCCAACTTGTTGCGCCGCTCCGGGCGGCTTCATAGCGCGGCCTTTCGTCTCTCCCGTTTAATTACCAAGGAAGAGGAAACGAGTATTATAAATATTACTCCACCGTATTGCCAATAAGAGAGCCGAGACCGTTCGGCTATATTACGACGTAATATCGCGCGCTTCCCAGCCGAATGTCTCCCCTAGATTAAACGGCTGTAAAATATGGCGCGATTATTTCACAGACGCACTCTTCATATCGCCCTCCTCCGTCTTCTCATCTTCGTCTTTCATCTCGTTCGTCTCTCTCGCTTTGTTTCACGCGTCTCGTACCACGCTCGGCCCTCTCAGCTGCCGCTCCGAACGATGCGCCGCTTCTTGGTCCAGCCCAGCTTCCCCCTTTTATTTTTTCTCGCCCTGCGAGATGGAAGCCGTCTGCCCAGGGCGAGATCGGGGCACGTGCAGCGGCTCGCATATATCGAGGGCGATTTGGCTCGGAGATGTATGCGCTTACGTGCATCGTAACGTTTCCGAAGAGTGAGTTAGGACATCCGTGCTTCGCAGCGTATTTTCGCGAAAGCAAAAGAAGGAAGGGGGGGGGGGAAACGTGATCGTTCGCGCCTCTCGAAGACAGCTTTTCGTCCCGGGCCTTGTGCGAAGTTTTCACGTTAGAAACGCGTTAGAAACCAATATGCAAGAACTTCGTATCTCACGACATGCGGCAGCAACAAAAACATAATGCATTCGGTGATGGTTAATTGCACGAGCGTGGGGTTGCCCAATATATATATATATATATATATATATATATATATATATATATATATCGATGCGAGGGGAAGTGTTTTATCGAACTCGGTATCCATAATGTATCGGTATCTCTCAAGTTTGTATAAGAAGTACATCAGTATACGAAACCATACACGCTTGATAGGGCGTACGCTGTTTGCGTTACGCGATACAGCACGTATCATGTTTAGCGAAGTTATCTACGGTTATGCTTGCAAGATGCACCCTAGGTTTTCCTACGGCGTGGAAGATCGGACTCGAGACCTTTTACGAAATTTTACAGCGTAATGCGTCACGGTTAGATATTACCTTCGCGCCACCAGTGTCACATATATGCAACGATCTCACCAGAGGCATTATTTTTTCAATTTTCAATTTGCCTATTTAATGTGGATTACGTATATATAAGCGCAAACATGCACTACATTAAGATAAAAGTACAGATAAAAGTACAGTGAGCGATTATAGTGATTTTCAATTTAAGATAGTTGATCCGTCAAGCCATTTTCTCCAGAATTCTTTTCAATTTTAACTACACATTGATGGAAATACTACCTACACGTCTATGAAGTTAGAAAATAGTTGACTCGGAAATTGAGATATTCGCAACTAAAGATGATATTTTTTAATACGTATTCCTTGAGATTAATGCTCTATTTTTAATTTCTATTTTTAATTTTTTAATGAAAAAACTATTGATATTAAGAACTAATATAGATATTACACAAAAATTTCAGAATTACTGACCATTCTGTTTTGAAAATAGATATAGGAAATTTACAATTTATTAGTAATTATCCGCGATATGCATACATATATACATATTTAAATATTTATACATCATATTATTTCGTGCAAAAAATAATATGGTGTATATAACAATATGGTGTATCAGGTATGCACTTCTATTAGCTTAACTACATATAAATAAAAAACATTAGTAAAAAAAATATATCTCCATATTTGTTAATATTGTGTGATATTTGTCTTAATTATGCTTCAAAATTAGCATTACTTAGATAGTTAAATGAAATTATAGAAAAGTATATATATAATAGTTAGTAAAAAAATTGGAACACTTTCCGTGGATTCCAGAACAGGAGAAAATCGTCTGACCATTTCGCCGTTTCTGCTTCTTCAAAAAAGGGGAGACTCATCGGGCAGGAATGCGTTGCAACTTCTTTGTCGCCGGCTACCTGTGAAGTATGGCTACCTCTCTGAATACCCGTGAACCTCTATTTTGTAAACTTTCATTAACGCACGATGATTCTAACCCATCCTAATTTACGCATCTCGTACAGACTCACGTATAATGTTTTGTGAAATATGTATGAGTGAATTGTTGCCGATGCGAAAATAATCGTCGATTACATCGTGCGTCTCGTTAAGGGCGAATCTTGCTAAAGAGGAAGCGCGAAATTACCGAAGGAAACGTTCGCTTCGCTCGCCGTTATGCGTGACCGACGCGAAATAGAAATCACGCTGGATATTATTTACGCTCCTTCCGAAACTCGCTCGGGCCTGCCAGCAGCCGCACGAACGCTTCGAAGAAAACCCGGCCCGGCTTTGGACGGGCCACATGCCTTCCTGCTTCTCCTATCTAGCAGCTGTCCTCACGCACCAGTGTATCTCATTCTGCTCTTAATACGGCGGAGCATCAAGAGATCACTTTACATATCGGACGATTGCACGATCGACTTTCTTGCAATTACTCGTCGCTCTTACAAAATCACTAACTGAACATTACCGTAGCGCACACTGTTACTTACTCAACTAGCTCTTCGCAATTGATTGAGCGTCAAAGCAATTTATCAAGTCGGTATAGTGAGTTTCGATTTTCCTCAGGAAAAGGCTTAGAGATACTTTAATCATTTTCTGAGGTTTACAGCACAGATAGTCGATGGTAAAACGGTTGCGACGCATTTCTTCCTTCGACGTGCTTCCGAAGGAACAAAAACTGCCGGAACGGTCAGACGACCTTTTCCCGTTCTGAAATCCATGAAATTGAAAAGTACCGCAACCTTTTTACCGACCACATATATATCTGATCGTGACGTGCTTTATCGTGAAATAAGCCAAGGTGCAACCTTCGACTTTCTGTCAAGACTCGTGGCTAACATTGAAAAGTTGCAGAAATTAAATTTACGTTGATTTTTGCAATCCCTCTCTCTCTCTCTCTCTTTCTCTGAGAAAAGGAAGAAGAACCGACGAGAGTACGAAAGATCAATTTGTGTGCCCAATATCTACAATTATTTCGCTAATAACTCCACACGGCCACGAAGTGATGAAGGCAAGCTGTCTCGTGACGACCTCCCCGGGCTTTTTAAAGCGAGTTTACTAAACGATCGTTGACAGCCTCGGGCGATCTTGCGCAACGCCAAATTGTTCCGCAGCAAAGTAAAAGTGACGCTTCGTTTCTCAAAGACGATAAATCGAACACACGACTCACCCATAAAGCATCGCCGCCCCAGCTATCCCGCCGCCGCATTGCGCCGCTATATAGAGCACCGCGCGAAGTGGAGAGATCCGTCTGCACAAAGCGAACGACACGGAGACCGCTGGATTCACGTGTCCACCTGCATGCAAGAGGATTTCCGTGTAAAGAAGAGGGAAGCATCAAAGACGGACGGAGATCGTGCGATCCCTTCTTTTTTTCTTCACATTCATGCACCGTCGTTTGATCGGTGCTTCTTTTTGACGCAAGTTTTACCTCGGTTCACTTTGTTGAAAATTTACAAAATCAGTGACCAAGCTAGTCAGGCGTTTCCCGAGCAACAATTTCTGCTTCTGCCTTATTTCTCGTGTTTTATCGTATTAGTTTCTATTTTATTTGACACAATGCAAACCTGCTGGTACATTGCAAATCCAAGTGTGTAATTTTTACAAACTTACGTGCGTGAAATCGTGTAATCACTTTATTATACATTTTATGGATAAATGATACATATTTTTTCATATATATTTTTATAATAAATATATACGTTTGTTACGTATTTGAATAATTCTTAATATCTGGAAGACTCAGTGATTTTTAAATTATAAAGAGCATTTATAAAATGTATTATTAGAGATATTATTATTATTTGTTATTATTATTATTATTATTATTATTAGGAGAAAAAAACCTTAACGTTTTTACTGAACTTTTTATAGAAAAACATAAAGAATTTTCTCAACAACTTAACTGCATATTTCCCTATAATTACTCGCAAGACTCGCGTATAAGAGGAACTCTGTATGTAAAATTGTTCTATACGTGTATACATTTATAACCAATTGTTCATTCCTTCATTTTTACACACTTTGTAATATGTATTGTACACAGTGAAATATGTTAAATTGCACATCTAAACGCGTAAATTAATTTTTTTACGCAGCAAAGAGTGTGTAATTTTCATGACGGAAAATCAAATCGCGCACATAAATGTGTAATTTTACACACACAAGTGTGTACTTACCATACCCTTTGATTTGCAGTAAAAACGGTTGCACCGAAATAGTAAATAAATTTGTTCAATGAACAGCAACGGGTCCTAATTGACATATCTCACTCGCTCATTACGAAGCGAGAGAGTGAATGACGCAGAAACGCGATCAGGTTTCCATTATGATAATATAAAAACCGGCATAACAGCCTTGACGCGTGGCGACTACGATTTTTAACCGTGTGCGCACTTGTACGCACCGTTGAAAATCGCGGTAACCCCAATAATATAAGCGTTGAGGCTATTACGCGCGCCGGGCTCACCAGGACTGCAAGTTTGCACGCGTCGTCGTGCGCATGCCGCTGCAACGTACTCCGAGAATGCTCACATGCGTTTCGAGCGGCGCACGCATATACGCAGCGTTTAATATCCACATTGGCCAGCGTAATCGGTTAACGAGTCAATCAAGAGAAATCGCGAGGGCCGCTGGCGAGCGACACGGCACAAAACAAGGAACAGAACCATTGACGCAACGAGATAGTTGCTTTGAGCAGTTCGCGACCCTTCGCACAATTATCCTTCGACCGCTTTATAGGAGACGCAGGAGCGTCGCAGCCACGATCGAAAACAATCGCAAACGCAAGTTAAACGCTTCTTTTAATCGATATCAGTTACACCAACAGAAATTATAATTATTTTGAGGCCTCAACTACACTTGGAGAAAGAATTGGTTAAAAGTTAAAGGAGCTAAAGTAGACACAGCTGATATCGTTGCTAAATTTATTAGCTGTTCGAATTAAGGCGCTGCAGCGAACAATATAGTTGCACCTTGCGACAAATGCATTTTACTTTTAGTAGCTAACGCCGTTGCTACCGCAGCTAAATTTATTAGCTGCGGTTGCAACGACATTAGCTTTCCACAATATGTATATAAAATTTGCATCACTGACATTATAATAATATTTACCTGAAAAATGGTTTTCCCGACTAATTTTTTTACTATAACGATTATAGTTACAAATACGAAATATATTTTTCTCTCGGTGTAACTTCGATTTCGATTCGTCTCTTTCTACGTATTTACAGGTGAAAAGAGATAGATGAGAACTCGACGAAATTTAGATCAATTTGGAACCAATGATGTGTTGAAATTCGCTACTGCAGAAGCATATATTGTCTCGGGTGACGCCTCTATTTAAGCAAGACGTTACGCAACGCGTATACACGTAATGTCTCAAATCATCTCGCTCTCAGTTGCGCCAGTTAAAAATTATAATAATAATTAATAATCAATGATCGTTCACAAAATGACGTTAAGTTACATTTTGAACGTCGAAGTCACCGACTGAAACGTTTCTTTACGGACAGTTTAATTTCTATAAAATATCTATTTCAATTCGCCTCTTTTTGTATATTTGTGGTGAAAAGAGATGAGTGAGAGTTCAATGAAATTTGGATAAAATTGGAACCAAGCAATGTATTGAAATTTGTTTCTGCAGAAATAAGTTATTGGCCCATATTCTGAACTCGTCGTATTCATCGATAAATGCCTCTAAAAGTGGCTTGAGAACCATCTGATTGGCTAAGAAGCGTTATCGAAAAGTGAATTCAGAACCATCTCTTGGGTAGCTCCATTTTAAGCAAAACGTTACGCAGGACGTATACGCAACATCTCAAATTCTCTCGCTCACAAATTGCGGCAATGAAAAATTGAAATAATAATGGCAGTCTTACCGCTCACGTGGCTGAAGATGAGGGAGATCGCGGCGATGGCGAAGCCGGAAGCCACCGCGGTAGCTAACACGGAGAGCCCGCTTCCGGATACAGCGGAGGCCGCGGCTGCACCGGATACAACCAGGCTGAATAGAAAAGTAGCGAAACACTCGACGGCTACCGCGCGCCACAGCTCCAGACTGCGAGCCTCGATCGACATTGGTGCCTTCCTCTCGACGACATCGGCGTTGTTCTCCCGGAGGGCCGACAACCTCGTCAGGATGGTGACGATATGCGCGTCCACCTCGCGCGACAACGACTCGGTCGTCATTCTCGGTTCCGTTCTTCTCCTCAGAGTAAATGCGAGTCACCGTACGTCGAAACTGTTTCCGCTCGCTCAAAACATGTTCCCCACGTTCGAGGATACGACTTTTCGCCGCGCCGGACCTCGTGCACTTTCTCTCTGCAACGTCCCAGTTGCAATCACACCGGCCGTCACCACCTTTTGATTCTTGTCGGTGCCTGCGACTCTCCCAGGACCCTGATCTTGCCTCAGGTCGTCCGGTGCTGTGACATCCGCGTGGTCGCCGGTTTCCTCGACGCGGAAACGTGAACGCCGTCGGTCGCGCCGAAGCAGAGGAAGCACCCGATGTTGCCGCACCGGCAACGCGCTCACGAGTGTCGAGCCAACCCGCCGGCGAACAAGTGGGTCCCGCGCGCCTCCACCACCACCAACACCCCTCTCTCCGGTCATCTCCTCATACCCGAATGCACATGTGGAGGAACTGCACTCGGGCATCACCGCCACTAACCAACCACCACTACTACTCTAACACCGCGCGGATGTTTTCTAACTTTGACCCCTGGACGATCTTGTTTCCTTCCTTTTGCTTGCCTACCCGACACAGCGTTGCAACGCGACGGCAGTCGTCATTTTTAGGACCGGACCTTTGATAACCGAGCTGAGGGAAGCGTACAAAACTAATCGCAATGTAAAAGAGAAAAGAGTTTAAGATGATCGATTATAATGTAAGAATAAGTCATCTACCAATTCGTGAAGGGGGAAATTTGGAATTTTTCACCCTCCCCCGGTAACGTGTGTCTTTGAAAGTTGAAGACCACGTATTTTTGCAAATTAATAATTTGGATTTTTGCCGTTAATTTCAATGAACATATAAAGATTTTGTTTTTAAAAGGATTTTAAAATAGATTTTTCAATGTTTTATATCATTTTTTACTAATTTAAAAAAAATATATAAAATTTCTCTTTGTAAATAAATTTTTTAATGTTTTACATATTTTTTAAATAAAAAATTATGTATTGCTGTACATTATGTACTAAACCAGCGGACGAGGAACACCACACACATTATTGTATATAGACTGTGCTACATAAATATGTTTTGCATGTGTACATTAATTTTGATAGAAATAAATTGACATTAAAATGATTTATCTGCTGTAAAAATGTTATTATTTTTTTTTCCAAATGAGACTATTTCTTTCTCCCACAAATTTTCAATTTCAGATATTCAAATAATTCAACTTTTTCGAACCAACATCATTATACTATTTTTTCCTGAAGTACATATTCTTGAGTATTGTAGTATCCTAAAAGGATTTGTTTCTTTTCACTCATAAAAAATTACAAAATCCCATTTTTTCGATGTTTCTGCTCCGACTTCAATCTGTAAAAAATAAATAAAATAGAATCCGACTTCTATAATTGTGAAAACTTGTTATTAAATTTCCAAAAATATACGAGAATTTTTTAGATTTTTATAGTCCAGAACAATATAAAAACCTGCATTGGCCTTCAAAGAGCTATGTTGCAGGCTAAAAGTGTGAAATTACATTGCCGGCGGAAAGCTAACTTCGAGACCATCGTTGCGAAAGAAACTTCACGAGCGGCGGACTATTCAGGGGGTCCGTAAAACAGTAGACGACGTACTACGTAAGAAAATGGACGGAGTGCTCTAATAAGAGCCATTAAGAATAGCACATCGCGCGTATTACCTTTAGTTAAGGTACTTAAGCTCTCAACTACGCGTATTTACACGCGCGTCAACGCGCGTATTAAAAGCGCATGATAAAAATAAACTAACTAAGTAAACCGCCATATTTGACCACGCGGTAGGTCTTATTCCCACGAGTTCAAAGAGCGTCATAATGTCCACGTTCTCACAAAAAAGGGATTTACGCACGACGGGACATGAACAACGAGCATAATGGCATCCATTTAGATCAACTTCGCCGGGATGTCGTAGTGCTACTGGTGATGATGGTGATGGACGACATCCCGGTGCTCCGTGTTCTCTCTACGAATTTGCATGGCCGACCACGATTTTTCGTAGACCCGTGTTCAAGCACGTGATCGACAAAGTCGACAATGCGATCCGCCGCAGAAGAAGAAAGTCGACTGCGAATTCGACTGTCCCTGTGCAAGGTGTTCCGCGTTTCCGCTGCAAAAATACAAACTGGTTTACGGTTCTCGTATTCCGACGATAGAGATGCAAATCTCCGCGGGACTGCGTCGATGTAACGGTAGGAAAAATCTACCGGGAACGAAGCTATCCGATTTGTCAATTTTAAATGCAGGTATAATGGCTCCAATCACCGGATATTTCCCAGGTGTAATGCTCTACGTTTTTTTCTCCCCCCTTCCTCCCCCTTTCATATGTATGTATACGAAAGACGAGGCCTCTTCGTCAAACCGGACGAATCCGAGAGAGCGCGATAACCCGCGGTAATTAAAGCCATTTAACTCTTCACCGGGACTGTACTGGCGCAAAGTTGCGGCCGGGAATAGTAATAAATTCACCAATTACTATAAATTGGAGAACTTATGTGCGAGGGAGTAAGACGAGAGGAGAAAGGGCATCCGCTGCACCGTCGCCGCAACGCCGGCAAACGCTTTCCCCGTAATATCTTTAAATGCCAAGCGATATCGTCGCTCGGCATTTTTGCTTGGATAACGAAATATCCAGTAAGATTCAATCGCACTCGGATATAATCAAAGGGCAACGTGCAGGAACAATGATCGATTGTACCCCCGGTGATTCCCTCGACCGATCATATCCACGAATCGTACTAATTGAATTGATTCCTACACTGATGGAAATATAATGTAACAACGATTTCACTTGTACGATTCTCATTGCTTCGCATTATTATTATCGCACAGTTGAAATGCCGATTCTTCTTTCAACGCTTCCGCAATTCCCTCCCATCGGAATATCCCGCATAAATTGGTACTTACAAACCCACTGGCTCCGCCTTTGAATTATTCATGCTCCTAATTGCAACTTATCACCGTGGTTGTGTTCATTGATCATTACGGTATATTACGGAAATGCGTAAGGCGAAATACGTGTTCGCGCGAGTGACAGTCTCATTTCTGTAATTTCTGAAATCCCCCCCCCCCCTCC